GTAAGTGTGGTACTCGCATTAGAAGCTTTTGGGAAAGGATCTCATAGAAGCTAGTTGTCCCCTCTGGGACAACGAAGATAGAGTTTAGAAGTACTTGTTTCGCTCAGGATGGATGTCAGTCGATTACTAAGAGACTTTTGATATGATCTCTACCGCTTGTAGGGCAAGATCAGTAGTTACCCATCACTCCAAAGAGTGGGTGATGAATTGGCCGCGTGCGTTTGTTCAGACGTTGGGATTGTCAGAAGATTTATAGGGTATACGTTAGGAATGTTCTGAGTTCGTCGACCTTAACGCAAGTGGATGGTGGATCGGTGATCCATTCGTTTCAGTCAAGGATTTATAGTCGATGTCATCGATGAGGTGGTTTAAAGATTTGAGATCGTATTATGGGAAGGTGTTTTTAGGTGCAGCAATGTTTTCCCTACATGAGTGGCTAAGTGTTTGAGCCGGTTCGAGAAGTGGATACCCTAGGCGGTTAGTAGTATAATCTTGGCTCTTGTCAGCTCAGAAGGATAATAATGGAGTAGTAAGGTTGCGATATGGTTCGGAAATCCATCGAATGTGATGTTGTCAGAGCGCAGTTGAATCCAAGTGGGGAGAACCGTTTGGATTATTGGGAATAATTCCAGGTGCGAAACAAGGAAGAATTCCATACCCCGGTCAAGTAGAGATTCAAGTTTTAGTTGCGGGTGGATTGTGGTTGCACAATAAATGGGAGTTCAGGATTTTTCGCTTAGGGTTCAACACATCAGTAGTGGAGCATGATGGATATGTGATTAGATTCAGGTTGAGATTTTTGTTAGAGCCTATCTTCCTGTTCTTGTCTGATAAAGGCTCTGGGGTTCAAAGTTTAACCCGAACACCTGATTGGGGTATAGTCGGATGTGTGTCCAACTCATGATGATTATGGTTGGTATGGTAGATGGAAGATAAGACCATGGTTTGGGTCCATGGCAGTATGGAAGTGTTGTAAGACTACGGGGTGGCCGTAGCATTCACAAGGTTGATAGGCAGTTATGGAAGTGTTGTAAGATTACGGGATAGCCGTAGCATTCACAAGGATGATAGGTTGTTAGGGATGTATTGGAAGTCTGAGATGGAGTCGTAGTATTCACCAGGATGAGATAGGTCAGTGGTTGTGGGGCTGTAGAAGGATCACCGTGCATTTATGGGTCAAGTAGGACCGTTATAGTTGGTTGTCCACTCCTTGTTGGGAGTGAGGATTGTTGGAGTTGTATCAGTATTCTAGGCTTGTATAGCCCCCATATAGGTGAGACCTGTAGGCGAGACCCATTTGGTTATGTAGATTGGGTGAGACCGGTAGGTGAGGCTCATTTGGTTATGACATTAGGGGTGAACCCCGGTAGGAAATTAGTCTAATTATAGTGTTAGATCACGCTCATATTAGGATGAATCTATGATTGACGGAAAGAATCCCTGTGGCATTTAGGCTCGGGGAGCTTATAGCAGTTAGAATCTTAAGTGGAGTCTCATGATGTGACCATGCGCGAAATGGTCAGATGTAGCAGGTGGTAGGGGATTCTGTATCCCAAAGTAATAAAAGGTTTGTCAGCAGCAATAAATGTTCAGGGACTGTGTTTTCCAGTGGTATCAGCAAGATAATTCAGGGTTTGAAGAGTTTTGTTCAGTTGAGTTGCGAAGTAGTGTCATTTTGAGTGCGTATCAGAATGCTTTTGTAGGTCGGAAACTCGGCCAAGTTATTAGATTTCTGAATTTTGTGAAGAGTAGTGATGATTACTCCTCATTTATTAAAATCAGTTTGGCAAGGTTCGTTCTTCGTCGAAACTTATGAATTCTGTTAAGGCTAGTGTCTTAATTACATTACTAGAAGAGCAGTCGTCGGTATGAGACAACCTTTCAGCCCTATTAGGATTTCAAGAAAACTCTGTTTGTATCGGCTAGTGTGGCAGAGGAAGTAGTGAAGGATGATTTCAAGGACGAAATCTAATTTAAGTGGGGGAGAGTTGTAACACCCTGTTTCGAGTCGTTTCTTAATTTGGGGTCGTGACCCGAAGGTCAATTATCATAAGGCTTCGGCCTTTGAGGAAAGAAAGGTTTAGACCCATTTGGATGTGGGTAATGTAGATTATGTGATCCAAGAGTTCGCTTTGGGCTTTGGAGCCCAAGGGTATAATGGTAAAAGTGATGCTTCGGACCTTTCATGAATTAAGGATTTAAGTTTGGAAGGTTTTAAGTCAAATGAAAGTTAATAGTATTGTATCGCTTTTCATGACCTTTCCGAGCAGATAAAGAACGCCGAAAACGGATTTGGGACGAGAGAGTTATGACCATTAGAAGTTAGGAAGGATATGGGTTTAGTCCAGTATATTGGGCGTACAGAGTGTACGCTGAGCGTACTAGGCTTAAGTGATCGCGGTGATTCGCCCTAGTACGTTGGGCGTACCAGGAGTACGCTGGGCGTACGCAGGTCAGAGTCAAACCCTAATTTTTTGATTTTAGACCCCTAAGGCCTTAACCTCTTGGAAACTCTCTTTACCTTCAGACTCTACCCTCTTAAGTTGTTCCCTCGAAACGGTAGCCTTATTTGAAAGCTTATTGAGCCTTTGAGTGATTTTGGTGGATTTTTGGTGCATTTGGAAGAAGAAGAACTCATTGGAGAAGTGTTGATTGTCTTGGAGCTTGTAGATTCGGACCTTGTTCACCTTGATCTATCTTTTGGAGGTATAAAGCTTCAAACTTGATGGTTCTTTTATGCAGATCTAGGTTTAGGTTATGATTGGTCATATTTCGGTCCCATGATTTGGATCTTGTGAGTAGAAATTACTATAGAACCTTTTGATCCCCATTTCAAGTCTTTTTGAGGTCATTAAGTTATAAAAATCGGAGCTTGATGTGTAAACATTAACCATGCATGAGTTATTGGCCTTTTGCTGAAGTTATGAATTTAGGAATTTGGTTGGACCCCATTAAGCCATGCAAAGTCATAAAGTCAGGAACTTTATGGCCTAAGACATCCCTTATAGGTTAGATCTGTGATTTGGATGATTTAGTCTTAAGCATTAAGTGCTAAAACTGAGAATCGGCCATCAAGGGAGTACGATGGGTGTACGTATGTGTATGCTCAACATAGTGCATTGATTCCTTGATTCCTCGTTGTGGCTGGTTGTATGTTGGGCTTCAGCATGCAATACGCGGGGCGTACCGGGCTGGTATGTGGGGCGTACTCGCGAGATACACTTATGGGCCATTTTTGGACTTTGGGTCATATCGGTTTTGGGTCATGTATTGTTGGGTCATATATGAGAAGGGTAAAATGGTCTTTTACCCTTAGTAAGAAAAAATAAGAATGGGACCTTGGATTTCGGGTTATTACCCTAATTATTGATTAGGATTGATCTTGGTTATGTTCATTGTGAGAAGTCGGGGTAGTAGCAGCTCGAGTGTGTGTATTGCAGACTTCGGATTGAGGTGAGTTCCTTCACTGTACTTGTGGGTCAAAGGCACTAATGTCGGCCCACTGGATTATGTGTATAGGACGATAGTTGTCTTTGTGACACTTACGGTTATGCCTGTTTGTGCTTGTTGTCTATGTGACTCTTGCTGATATGATTATATGCTTACCTGTAGGGGCAAAATAGATCTGATACCGGTTGAAAGAGACCGAAGGGGGTGAAATAGACCTGATACAGGTTGAAATAAAATGAAGGGGGTGAAATAGACCCGATACCGGTTGAAAGAGACTGAAGGGGGGTGAAATAGACCCAGTACCGGTTGAAAGAGACCGAAGGGGGTGAAATAGACCCTGTTATGTTTAATTGTTATGCATGTATGGTATGGGGTATTTTGAGGAAACCCACTAAGCTTTATGTTTACAGTTTTATGTTTATGGTTTTAGGTACTTCCAGTTCGAAAGGGAAGGGCCCGGCACGATCGCACCACATCCACCCATGTTTTCTGCACTTTTATGATTTTGGGAATTGTACTTTGATGACTATTTTACTATGACATACTTTTGGATGTTTTGACATGAATATTTGTTGGTTTGAGTTGAATTAAAAATGAAATTTTTACCTATAATTTTTAGCATGTTACAAGTTTGTATCAGAGTCTTGGTTTGAGGGATTCATACACACTTTCGGGTGTGTCTGAACTTAAACTGAGGGTTTGGTAAGTTTTTCATAAAAGAAATAATTTTCTAAAAAGATTTCTACCAAAAAGAATGGGTGTGATGCATGCAATCGGCGGAGCCCAAGTAAGTGTTCCCAAAATACCCATACATATTTTTTTGATTCAGTATGTGAATATGTGAACAACATGCCATATTAGGGCTAATGATCTGCTCAGTGTTGTATGATAGGAGAGATATCTTTGTATGCTTACTGTATGAGCCCATAGAACTACATGTTAGTATGATTTTCAGATGGTATGATAGGATAACCTGTTAGGCAGTGCTCTGATTGGGTGATGTGTTGATTAGATTTCCGATGCTCGAATGCTATTTGATTTATGTTTTGTGGGACTCATTGATATGAGTTGATTATTTCATGAATATGTTAAGTTGCATGCTGTAAAGGTTAAATAATCCCAGAGTGATTGATTTGATCCTATTGTGCAGCTCTTGTTTGAGTTTAACTGTTGTAGGGTTAGGTTGAGTCATCACCATCTTAGCAAACCTCCAGCGATTAGACGGAACACCCAGAATCGCCGAAGATGGAGAACTCAACGAAGATGGAGAAAGCAGATCTAGAGTTAGGTAGAGTCATCCCCATCTTAGCAAACCTAGGTTTTTTAAAAGCATCTTCAAACCACTTTTTTCTTGGTACGGATGATTTTGAAGAGGGGTGTTTTAAAGGCGGGTGTTTGTATAGCTGCTCGATTATATAGAAGTACAATAAATAAAAACCACTGAATTAAAATAAAAATCTGAAAGATTATATAAGTTTTCTTATTAAATTTCACTTCATTTCTTGTATGCCACACATATGACAAATTATCTTTAGTTCAAATTCCAATTCCTTTTAATTATATTTCATTAGGCAAATCCCCTTCATTCAAAAAACATTCCACAAGCAAAATGTCCCCCTAATTCTCATACAAAACCACAATTTCTTTTCCAATTACAAGGAAAACAGCTTATGACCAAACAAATGTTATTAAAAAAAAAAAAAACCTTAAAGCAACTTGACACCTGCTTCCCTTAAAGAATCAATAACAGCTCTAACTTTTCCATGGTATCTTTGCTCTTTTTTATACACCACAGAAACCGCCGGAATATCTTTAAGCAGCAACCTCTCACCTAAAAGCTTCCCTATCTTGGCGGCAGCCGCCACATCTCTGGTGCTTTGCTGGCATTTGTTCCATGCTTCCCGGAGTGCCTTCTCCTGTGAGCTGGCGGCAGAGGCTACGGTGGCAGTTGGTGCATGGATCACCTGTGCACTTACGTATTTGTTTGAAAAATGCATCTTTAAAAGATACGGTTTTAGATAGTTTGTGATCCTTTGAGCCTTCACTGGTGGAGGAATCACCATATCTGTTTTAAAAATAATTTATTGATTATAAAATATGAATATATTGAAAATCAAGAAATAATGGCTTTTAGGTAAAAGGCTGATAATGTAATTGTAAGTTGCAACGGCTTTTGTGACAAGTCATTTCCAAACAAAGACAGATTGGAAATTATTATATATACTAATTAAAATTAGGAAATGAATAAGTATACTTTAATGTTTGAGACTTTAGCCATAATAGTTTTGTATGTTGGCATATTGGGTCCCTGTGTAGAAAATAAATTATAAAAACTGTTCCTGTAATTTACATAAAAGGTCTATGTGCAGATTTTTTTCTTACAGAAATGGTCCACGTGTTTAAGACTTTCATATGTTGACAGGATAGGTCCCTGTTTAGAAATAAAATTACAAAAACTGTCACTGTAATTTACGGAAAAGGACCCTGTGCAGATTTTTTTACGGAAATGGTTGATATGTTTTACAAAAATGATCCCTGACTAATATAAATTTACAGATTATGACCCCCAAAAAGCATTTTTTTTATTCACAACTCCAGTCTCTCTTAAACATCATTATTATAGTAGAAAATTTTCATACACCAAAAGCACTTTTGGAACATTTCATCAAACAGTTGATATGCAGACATGATAATCACAAGAATAGAGGGTTAAAATTTAGCAAAAGAAGAAGCAAAAGCCACCGAATTTTTGCTTTCCACATATTTTTTTTTATCAAAGTGAAAAAGAAACACTCATAGATATCTGTCCAGCTTAAGATCATATCTGGATGAAGTTCATTAAATAAAAACAAGCATTTACTATGTTATTTCCAAAAAGTTCATATATGAAAAAAGCTGCATTCAAAGGGTCATTCTATAGTTGGACAACTTGTAGATCATTAGGACAGGGTAAAAAGGAATCATAGCCTTCTTAAGAAGTTAAGGGAAGTAGTTTTCATCCCCCCCCCCCCCCCCCCCCCTCCCAATTGGCATCTAAATCAAATTGTTTTGAGATCCATAATAGTTATAAAGTTAATTTTTGGCCCAAAGAAACTAATCTAAAAACGCTTAAACTTGCAACAAATATCAATTTAGCACTCAAATGCTACTAGGTTTTGAGATGCCAAATGACAATATTGTTCTTATTTGAGACCTGTTAAATGTTAAATTGACTAAGCTAGTTTCCAATCACACAAGATACAAACACATATTTCATGAAAACAATAAATAATGCAAATAACTGAAACAATGCAAGATAAAACATAGATGTTGGACAAAAATTATGAAAAGATATGTAAATCAAAGTTTTCAATCTTATTCTATCCCACTAGTCTGTGATAAGAGGCTTTGTTGTTGCAACCATTTTTTACAAGCTATTCCAACATTTAGGAAATTGATGTGTTTGAAAGACATCAAAATCCAATTTTAATTGTAATTTTTCTCTTAGGCATTTCACCAAACAGTTGGGACGATAGTTAACTTATTTTGCCAAAAAAAAAAAAAAAAAACAGAAGTAGATGTGGCTTTCACCGTATTAAGATTCTGACATCGTGGCTCACCATCAATTTTCTAATGGTATGCAATAAGAACGAGGAAGCTCGAAACAAACCCTAATAAATTTAATCCAATTTTTTCAACAAACCCTATTCAATAACTTGTCTCTTTCATTACAAAATGGCAACGAGAACATCAAGCCTATACAATTTGATGTCAAAATATAGTATAATCTAAATAATTCTTAGGGATCAAAGGAATCAATTTTTGGGTATATTGAGTCAGTCATACAATCAAATAATCACACAATACATAGGAATTTTCGAAGTTTTGAAACTTACCTTGTTATTTCTAGTAGAAACGGCCGGAGAAGACGGTGGAGCTGAGAGGAGGCCGCTGCAGCAGTCGGAGCGTGAAAGAACTATCGACAGAGGTTCAACGGTATTCAGTATACAGGACGCACTATGCACTTCCCTTGTGATTTAATTACCAGTTAGCTCAGTCTCAAACAATCGCGAAATTACATATTCGATCGGCCCAACCCAACCTTAACTATGTTTCAAGTTTCAAACTGCCCATTAAGTTACTTTAAAAAAATAAAATAAAATAAAAATAAAAATAAAAATAAAATAAAATTAAGTAATCGGAACATTTTTTAGTTTTTTTTAAAGAGTAAATTATTCGAATGGTCCGTATAATTTGGGATAATTTACATGTTTGGTCCTTAACTCTTGTTTTTTATTCTAATCGTCCTTATGGTTTAATTTTATTGCATCATTGGTCCCAGATAGACTTAAAATGACCAATATCCCCTTATTTTTCTAATTTAATTGTTTTGTTTATTTTTAAGTTATTAAAAGAAATTGTTTAATATGTGTGGTCCCACCCACCTCCCTTCATCCTTCCCACTGAACTCATCGGCCACCTCATCCCTTTCTTACGTGATATCTCTTTCCGTTGCTTTCAAATTTAAATCCAAGTAAGTATCCCTTTTTCTAAGTCTCAACTGATAACACCAAGATTCTCTCATCTCTCTCCCTCTCTTAACCCAGACGAAGTCATAACACCATCACCTATCAAATACCCTAACAACATCGTTGTCGCTACCCCGTCGAGTGCTTCAAATTAGGGGCGGAGGTGAAAGCGGAAGCTGGTGGAGACACCGGCTCGTTATCCAACATTGAAGTGAATCTCGATCTCAGATCTGGAACACTTATCTCCGCCTCTTACCTCCGATGTAGCCACCTCATCCATGGCGGAAATGCAAGAAAACTCATCGGAAATCGGTCCTCCGATGGCCCCTCTTTGCTTATAATTTTTTCTGCGCCCTTAAATAAATCTCCCAGATTTCAACCTGTTTTTCCCATAGAGATTAAACATGTTCTTCTATTGTAGCTTTGAAGAACCCAGATAACCAAAAATTAAAGTTTTGATTTAAAAAACCATATGTTCTGATTTGAAGATTAAGTTTATGATTTGAAGAACCCTGTTTATCGATTTCATTTAGGAATTTACTGATTTTAACTGATGCAGATTTATTCAATGGAAAATGTTTTTGGATTTGATGTAGATCAGGAATAGAGGGAGACTGGTTTGTGCAAGAGATTATTACTAGAACGACAAAGGGAAGGTGATTGGCAGAGAACATAATGGAAATTGTAGGTGAAGGCTTTGAAGTGTGAGCACTATCTGGGAGGGGAAAGCATTAGGAAATTGATAAGGATTCTTATGGGTGGCGACGAGCCTTGATAGCGATAAGTTGCAAATGACGGGTGTAGTAGGGTCACCAGGGAAGGGGAAGGAGAAAAGAAAGGAATACGGTTCCTGTGTGTGTGTATATATATATATATATATATATATATATATATATATATATATATATATATATACAGAGAGAGAGAGAGGAAGAAAGTGGGTGTGGGTGGTTGTAACGTCCCAAAACTTAAGACCAAAAATTTCATTTTTAAATTGATAAAACTGTACTTCAAAACATCATCACAAATCCAGAGTGGAACAAAGTATATCAATACATCATAAAACATCAGAGTAAATCATAAAATGTGGAATAAGGTGGTATGTGTTCTGCAATCATCTCGGGCTCTTCCCTTTCAAACCAGAAGTACCTGAAACATAACCTGTAAACCGTAAGCACAAAGCTTAGTGAGTTCCCCAAAATACCACATACCATACATAATAAACACATAATGAGCCTCGCCCGTCATCGAGCCCCGCCCGGTATCGAGCCTCGCCCGGTATTGGGCCCTGCCCGGGATCGAGCCTCGCTCGGTATACAGATATGTTAGTCATCAGGCCCCGCCTAGCGTCGGGCCCAACCCGATACACATATAAACATATAATCATATAATCATACGAACACATGCGATAATCACAAAGACAATATCATAAAATACAGTTATCGGGCCCCCGCCCTGCATCGGGCCTTTGCCCGGTAAGCATGCCATCACATAACACATGCAAGAGTCACACATACATCTAGCATCAAAACATAATAATCCATGGGCCGACATTGGTGCCTTCGACCCGCTAAATACAGTGAGGAAACTCACATCTAACTGTTGAATCACCCAGATAAGTCTTTGTCAGCTGGTCCGACAAATCCCCACGCTGTCATCATAAACACATCCAATTAATAGTTGGATTCCGACCCATATCCAAGAGTCTAAGCTAGGGTAAAAGACCAATTTACCCTTTATCTAACTTGGCCCATAACCAAGGCCCAATTCAACCATACAAAGGCCCAAATCCTAAAGCCCAATATATATATGTGTGGCCCAATCTTCCAAATTGGGCCAAAACCCATCATGGGCGTAAAATCCAAGGAAGCCCAACATGTTAGGCCAAAGCCCAAAACCCCTAATGGCCCAAGGCCCAAAATCGACCCATTGGGTTTCTGCACAGAACGTCTGGCGTTCCTCCCTACGACGCCTGGCATCCGAACGCCGAGCGTTCACATGCAAACGCCTGGCGTCCGAACACCGAGCATTCACATGCAAACGACTGGCTTCCGAACGTCGAGCGTTCACATGCAAACGCCTGACGTTTGCTCGTTGTTCACCAACTTCCAACCAATGACTTAATGGCTTAATATATCAAGTCCAAAATTTAGATCCATAGCTAATAGAACGTCTAAAGCCATAAAGTTGCAAACTTTATGGCCATACATAGTTACAATGAGCCCAAAAGCTAAAACTCCAACTCCTTAACCCATTAAGACACTTTAAAACTTGCGTGGAGTGAAAAGAAGGCCCAAGATCACATTTTTATCACCTAATCTACACTAAAACGTCCAAACGGACAACTCCTTTGGTCTAAGGTAGCTCCTACCCAAATAGACCAAGAAAAATGGGCTAATAAGCAAAAACTTCGAACATCAACAAGATCTAGAGATATGATGATCAAGTTCAGAACTTTATACCACAAAATAATGCTCCAAGATGCCAAGAGTCGAGATCCACAAGCTTGAGAGAAACACCAACACTCCAATGAACTTCCTTCTTTATCAAGAACACTTAATGATGCCAAAAAGATGCACAAGGCTTCAAACTCTCATAGACACTTAGGGTTTTTGAAATGAGGATGGAGGCCGGAGTGGTGAAGGGTCTTGAGGCTATAATTTTCTTTAAATATGGTGCAAACCTTAAATATTAGGCTTTGGTCTTTGCGTGTAAACGCCTGGCGTCCATCATAGAACGCCTGACATTTGAACATCGAGCGTCCTATGCCAAACGCATGGCATCTGGACCAAAGGACCAAAAATTCACACAACAAGGTTAAAAGTACAAATACCTAGAAACCATGGTGTTACAAATCTCCCCCACTTGAATTAGACTTAGTCCTCGAAGTCCGCTGCTCCAAATAACTTCGGGTAGTGCTCCCTTATCTCATCCTCCGGCTCCCACATCCATTCAAAACCCTTGCGATGTTGCCATTGGACTTTCACCAACTCAACAACCTTGTTCCTCAAGATTTTCATCTTCCGGTCAAGGACCGCTACCGGTCTCTCAATATAGTTCAGGTGGGCATCCACTTGAATATCCTCCAATGGTAATATCGCAGAATCATCTACTAAACACTTCCGCAACTGAGAGACGGAATCATCTACTAAACCCTGAAAGGTACGATGAACCTGGGGCCCAACTTGCCCCTCTTTCTGAACCAAATGACACCTTTTCAAGGTGACACCTTCAGGAGAACCATATCCCCCACCTGGAACTCTAGATCTGAACGACTCTTGTCGGCATAACTGTTATGTCGACTCTGAGCTATCTTGTCGGCATAACTCTTATGCCGACTCTGAGCTGTCTGGAGTCTACCCCAAACATGTTGTATCAAATCAGTGGTCTTGAGTACCGCCTCGGCACTCCACATGACCCGCTCACCGACCTTACCCCAACATATCAGGGTCATGCATTTCCTCCCACAAAGCATCTCAAAAGGAGGTCGATCAATACTGGCGTGATAGTTGTTCTTAAACGAAAATTCCGTTAACGAAAAATACGTATCCCAACCCCCACAAAAATCCAAGACACACACCCTTAACATATCCTCTAAAGTCTGAATGGTCCACTGGCTCTGACCGTCAGTCTGTGGATGGAAGGCCGAGCTGAAATGCAGACGAGTACCCAACTCGTCGTGGAACCTCTTCCAAAATCTGGAAGTAAATCGGACATCCCTGTCTCAAACCACAGAAACTGGCACCCCCATGTAGTGCCATGACCTCCCTGATGTGTACATCAACTAACTTCTCCTACATAAATACTCACTTGAATCAGAATAAAATGCACACTCTTGGTCAATCGATCCACGATGACCCAAATCGAATCCATTTTGCGTAGTCTGAGGCAACTTTGTAACGAAATCCATGGTAATATCCTCCCATTTCCAAGCAGGTATATCCAATGGCTACATTTTGTTGTGAGACCGTTGATGCTCGGCCTTGACTTTCCTTCAAGTCATGCACCGCTCCACATACCATTCTACATCCCTCCTCATGCAGAGCCACCAAATAATCAAGACGAAGATCTCGATACATTTTTATCGCACGGGATGAATGGAGAACCTCGATTTGTGCGCTTCCTCCATCAGAACCTGACGTACATTTCCCCAATACGGAACCCATACCCTCCGATGAAGAGTCAATAACCCACGACTATCATATTCAAAGGAACCCACCTGAGCCACAATGCGCTTAATCTTCGGGTGCTCTTCCTTCATAGCCTCAATCCGAGCCTCACAAATCCGCTACAATAGCAGAGTAATCATGGTCATCCTCAAACAAATATTCCTGATCGGAGCCGTGATTTCCTTGCGGCTGAGAGCATCGGCCACCACATTGGCCTTTCCAAGGTGGTAAAGGATCTCACAATCATAATTCTTCATCGCATCCAACCACCGGCGCTCCCTCATATTGATCCATCAGATATCTCAGGCTCTTGTGATCCGTGTAAATAGTACAACGGACCCCATAGAGGTAATGTCGCCAAATCTTGAGGGCGAAAACCATAGCCCCTAGCTCCAAGTCATGTGTCAGATAGTTGGCCTCATGAGGCTTCAACTGCCTCGAAGCGTAGGCGATCAAAACCGCATCACAATAAACCACAAAATCCTCAACACCCTCCGGCAGGGTCAAAATCAGCGCCTCATATAATCTCTACCTCAGGGACTCAAAATCTGCCTGTTGCTCGGGCCCCCAGCGAAATGTGACTGCCTTCTTTGTCAACCGAGTCAAAGGAACAACTATGACATCCCCAATTTCACCGCCAGAAAAGACCGATTTGTTTATGATTTATTTAAAAAGCAGAGTATCCTTTTGAAGAATAATATTGTGGAATTTGTTCCCAAAATATTATAAAGATATTATCAAAGCATTTCCGAAGAAATGTATTTAAATTATATTAAAAATGTTGGGATGTCATCATCAATACAATACATAAACATAAACGGAAATAACATAGGCCTTACAACATCTATTATTCTACTGGCCTATAACCTATAAATCTCTCATCTGATTATCACACTGGTGCTCTTGTGTCACTACCTGTAATACAAGAAACTGAGTGGGTCAGGCTTAGGAGCCTGGTGAGCACATACGGTTTTCAACTCACAATAATTAAGTTCTTTAATTTCAGAAAATCATTTAACCCGATTACCCGTTCCCGTTATCCCCACTTTCTGTCCCTAAAGCATCTAATTTAAGCGACCTAGCCTACAAATTATCTTCGGGATTGAAAATA